AGAGTTCATATGTTGGATTTATAGGGTCCTAACCATGGCCTATCGTTTCAGAATATCAAATCGAAAATCTAAATTTTGAGTGGTACCGGCTTGGCAGGTCGTCTGGTGGACCCTCTCTTAAATGCATTTCTTATTGATACAATGGTTATATTATTATCATGGAACTCAGTAATCATATCAAGTGAGCTTGATACCAACTCACCACAATGTCTTTTAGAATATTTATTTCTTCATTGTACACAAAAAATTCTCTTGTTATGCAATCAAATTTAGATTTAATTAAAAACTTAATTGAAACACATGGCATGAACGTATCTATACATAATATTTAATTTAATGAAACATTATTAAAAAATATGAAAAATTCTTTTCAAAATAAATTATGCAGCAGCTGCTGACCTTGTTTAAAAATGTTATTAAATGTTAAAAAATCGAAAGCTCAACCAAATGGACGTCTATTAGAACAATTAAGTTTTATATTAAAATGGTATACTGATCAAGAAATACAAAATACGCATATAACATGCATTTATTCATTACAAAAAACATTATCCGGATATTGTTGATAAAACGTATGAAGTGTAATTCGGCAGAAAAAACAAAACGAGTGTTTTTTTTTAATATTATTTTAGTATTATGAATAAATTAATGTTTGGTTTGAAAAAATTGCATGGAGATTTCAAAATGGAATGTTTAGAAGCACTGATTACAAATATTACAGAATTAGATTCTGCATATTTGGAAGTAAAAGCAGCTGGAATACTTGATATTCTTATACATAAGTAAATTTTCTATTTAGAAATTTTTACAAAATGAACAGTTGGTATACTTTTCCATGTTCACTACAATGTCATAATGATGAGCATCACAGAGTGTAAACTTCGAATCCCATTCGAAAATTCTTGTAAACCGTAGTTCTATATTTTTTATCAAAATCTATTGGAAATCGACATTTTTGGCAAAGAATTCATTTGAAAAAGCGACTATTCGAATGATTTCGGAATCTTCTCAAAAAGAACTTAACTATTTCGTAATGAATGTTAGAAAAGCTCGAAGATTTATGAATGCGACAGATGTTTGAATATAAAAAGGCAGTTGTATCCGTTAGTTAAATTTAGTGATGAATTCTCAAATTTTTTTGTTTTTTTTTCGAAAAACTAGAGAATACAACTGTATTCAAGAAATTCATAATACTAGAATAAAAGCTTAAATTCAGATGAATAAGTTCAATCAGTATAGAGCATGAACATTCATGCTCTATTTGCATTGTTTCTAATGATTTTAAAGAACTATCTTGAAAGATGATCGGCTTTCGATTTCTATTTACATAGTGTGTTACTATAAATATTCGAAGAACTACAAAAAAATAACTCATGAACCGATATTCTCTTATTTTTCACATCACTGAAAACTGTTGTCAAAAGAATTTTTTTTTTGTCGAATATTTTGCATAGCGATCTATTCTCGTAGACTTGATTTATCTAGCGATGTGCTATATTCAATGATCAGTATCAAAATACCTTTTAAACCGTTTTTTTTTGTTTCGGCTCAGCTTTAATGGGCAAAAACAAAAAGTTGCTTTCTTTCCTTCTGAATAATATAACATGGGCTGCTTTTTAGCTAACTTTTTCTAGTACTGATTCCTGAACCGAACACTCCCATATTCCACAATGATTTTCAAAAAATAAAAGAAACTATTCACAATTTTTACTGACACAACTGAAAGAAGTCAGTACACCGAGCTCGTCCTCATCGAAATCTTAATCATGAAAAGCCTTTGTTCTTTTTTTGTTACTTTCAGATTGTAGTATTCTTAGTGTTGCATTGAGACTCATGCATAAGCTTTTACCAAAATTAACTCGTGAACAATTATTTGAAATAGCACAAATTTTATCTGTTCCTGGTCCAAATGAATGTCAATATTGGACACTTGAAATCAACAAATGGATGTATGATTATAACATGTCTTTGAAATTTTTGTCCGAATCATTTTATCATCATGTACGAGAGCAATTAGTTCAATTGTTATCAAGTAAAAATACATATATTCGTGTTAATCGTCGTAATTTTTCGTGTAATCCAAAACGTTTAAATATATCAAATCATCGTCTTATTGCATTCGTTAATCAATTATATTAAATTAAAACTGGACATGAATATTTAGATTATTGTATAAATTTTCTTCTTGAACATACAACACATAATCTGGATTATAATCGTTTTATAGTCGAAAATCCACTTGATAAATGTATATTTCAAGAACTTCCATTAGTATGTAATTGGCGTCAACAACATCATACATACAGTCCTGGCCATAAATCCCTCGCTCCCCCTGAACTTTATCAATATTTCAAGCTTTTAGTTTGAGATTTTGGTCACATGTGAGTACTAGCAAATGCTGATCATAGACACCAATCCGAGATCAATTCAACGTCATAGAACAGAGTTATACACCGAACACTATCATTATCTTGCGTTGGTTGTATTTTAGTCATACAACCATTTTGGAGATCTGGAAACCCAGCATTAAAACGCTTGAGTCTTCAGCTTTCTTCGGTGAAATTTACATTAGAAAAGTCCTTCGGGTTGCTGAGATATCAGCCTGTTAATGGGTATCGGCCCAATCACAATTATGATAATTTTCATTCCGTAATAATGAAAATCACAGTTACATTAACCAATTCAC